TTTTCCCGTCCCGTGGATCAAAACGCCGCACCTGGTTCTTTGCCGTTGGGAATTGCTAGGTGAAACGGGAAAGCCTAGCGCTACTCCGTTTTCACGTCGTGCGTTGGCAGCCGATGGTTGTGTCCTCAAGCATACAGCTTCAAGTAGAGCTTCGTGGGGTGGTACTACACGCAGCAGGGCCGCAGCAGTCAATTTGAGCCTAGGCAACAACATCGACGCATAGCTGTGCCTAGTGTTGTCATGGGCGATCAAAACCAAGGATGGACCATGTACTCGTGAAGAAGTTGGAGGATTTCATATCTCGGCCAAGCCGGCGTACTCCCGGATTGATGTCCTCCAGAATGTATTCTTGAAACAAAATCAACAGTGAGTCAATCACTCTATTCCAATCGCCAAAACGCCGCGCCAAAATCAAGATGAACCTCGGTCGTCAGAAGCCGTCATAAGAAACAAAACCGTGCCACGAGAATCGTATCCCATCTCCACTTAGAACCACGCCAGAGTCCAGGTCGAGGGCAGATTAGGCCACCGTTCCTGCCAGGCCGCAATGATCTCTGGCACTCGCTCGTCAAAGCTGGCCCGAGCAGCTGCGCTTCCACTGTCAAAGGCGGCATGCCCAACCGTGCCTCGCTCTTCTGCGGCGGCGGCATTGAGAGAGTTGGCGAGGTCAAGGATGCCCTGCCCGCCAATGTGCGCTTCCTCGTGGTTGTCTTTGATATCAACGTTGATCACGTGCACGGGTCGGTTCAGCGGAGAGCCGCGGTTGAGAAGATCGTCAATGACGGCATCCCAGCATCGCTCCTCGCAGGTGAAAACTACGTCGACGACACCGCCTTCGGTGCCCTCGCTGCCTTTGTCGCTGCTGTGCTGCAGTCGGGGCACGCCAACGGGCCAATCTTGCCAGCGCTCGGGACCCCATTTCACGCCTCTATTTCTTCCCAGCATGTTCAAGATACCGTTGTTGCGGTACAGCCTAGGGTCCTTGGCCTCCAGCTCCTTGTACATACTATCGTACGACGTCTTGTTAAACTGATACACGTTCGGCTGGGTAATGGTCGGGCCCGGAAGCCGGACGAGAGAGCCCGTGCCAAAGGATATCACGGGATAGTTGGCTTGCGAGAGTCGGAGATGAGCTTCCATGGATCTGGAGTCATGTTAGGAAGCTGATGCGATGGGTCCCTTGCGATTTGGGGGCTGACCTGTTTTGATTGCTGGCGCAGACAGTGCAGAACCTAAGCTTGTAATCTCCAGCAGTCTCGTTTGACGACCCGGTA